CCACTCACAAGAAAAACATTCAAGCCATAAGGCTTGCAAGGGAATACGGAATTATAATGTTATCCCTCCCGGCACACACCACGCACCGACTTCAACCTTTGGACAAATCGTTTTTTTAAATCTTTAAAGCACCATTTTAATGAAACGTCAGATGCATGTATGCGCACACATCCGGGCAGCGTTACAAAACAGACAGATATTGCTGTACTGTTAGGCGTAGCATATCCCAGAGCAGCTTCTATGGCTCCAGTACTGCACGGATTTGAAGCTTGTGGTTTGTGGCCATCTGATCGTCATAAGATCAGAGAAGAAGATTATGTTGCAATGGATATAAGTTTCGAAGAGGATGATAGAAGCACTTTGGATGGAAGTAATGATGAAACTGGCACTTTAACACACAAAACCATTAACAAACATGAAAGATCCTCAGAAAATAGGATAATGGAAGCTAACATAGGACAAATATACCGGTTTGATGATCCACAGCTATCTACATGCAGAGGTGGAATAACAGAATCCAAATTTTTAAATCTCAAAGACATTGAAGATTCATCAGTGAGTGTTTTCGTAGATAAAAAAATGTCCTTAAATAGGTGAGCCAAAAGATTCAGCCCAAAGACTCATCTCCAGAACCTTTCCCAATTCCAAGAATTAAAATCGTACAAAATAGGCTGTCAAAAGGTACTACAGCAGCTCAACTTTTAACCGAAAGTCCATACAAAAATGACTTAGAAGAGAAAATCGATGAAAATGAGAAGAAGAAAGTAAAATTAAACCTAAATAAAGAAGCCAAGGGAAAAGTAGGATACGCCTACAAGAATAAATTAAAGAAATCAAAAACAATCAACACGAAAAAAAAGGTGACATCAGAAAGCTGTGGAAATGAAGAATTATTATTATTTACTACAAAAGAACAGACACCTAAGCTATAAGGTTGTGCGTGTCACACAATATACAAATTCAATGCATGGCTAATGGTCATAAAGTATATTATGACCAAACGTATAAAAAAAGAAATAAAAACATTAGATAGAAACGTAATGACTGAGTTGAATCAAGCTACAATCGATGCGAGCATGTCAAAGTTATTTAAGATGAACTTCTTAATTCTTTTTTTGAAACTATACTTCTAGAGGATTTTATATTCTAGGCGTAATTTATTATACAACCTAATACCATCAAACTTTATGCATTTTTGGCAAACAGATTTATTCACTCTGCTATAAGCACACCAAGGTACGAATTGAGATCAATGCTCCTATTTCGTACTTTTTACACGTTTTTTTGAAACCGAAAATTTTCAGTTTTTTTAAGTTCCTATGTGTATAACAATAAGCTTAAGAATTAAATGAAGTTTACGTTTATATGCTTGTTGTTGTTGTTGTTTAAGTATTAACAATCCCTATAAAATAAAAATGTCTTATGGGATACGATTTAGGCATAGTTACCCTATCAAAGAACCGAGCTTATTAGACCCATGTCTGTATATATCTAGCTTTGAAAAATAATAGTGTCCCCATAGTAGCTTTCACCCCATATTTCAACTCCTTTTTCACAGCAAAAGGTATTCTATCTCATTGAAATCGGTTCAGCTGATTTGGCGTGAAAACGGAACATACATACGCACATTTTGTAATATTAGTATTGATTTCCGATTTTTGATTACTGGTTCATAAGTTCAGTCTACAAGGAGTTTTGCTGAGCACCAAGCAAAGGCTGATAGATCAATTCTGCACGTCAAAGGGTTACGCTAGTCCTACTTAGTATTTATTTTAATTATTTTCATAGTTACACTGCTTCGATTGTATCATACCCTTATGTTGTCAAATATCTGGTTAAATGAATGAATATAATTAAAATAGTCTGCTATTATATATTGCCACAATTTATAAAATCTAGTTCATACGCAGTTGGAAAATACCCATAGCATAGAGCCATAGCAACAAGCTGGCAATAATTAGAGTCTTTTTTTAGTGGTAGGTGATTTTTTTATTTTGAGATGGTATATGATCTCTTATATATGTGGTGGCGTTGAAAAGAGATACTTTACATATTTTAGGTCATAATAAGGATTTAGGGAATCATAAGTATCTGCGGCCTATTGAGATCTAACATATTGAAACCAGAAAGCATGACCAGGACTGAGGTCTCCTAGTTTTTGCGAAAATGTCAAAACTGGGAAATCAGCGTATACAGGGTGTCATTTAATTGATGGTTAAAAATACAAGATATGATTCCTTAGCTCATTTTGGAAAGAAAAGTTCATATGGACGTATGTCCTAAACCTCTTAACTTTTGAGCTACAAGGTGTTGAAGTTTTAAGAAAAAAAATCGTTTTCTTATCATAACTTTAATACTGTTCTAGATATTTTCATGAAATTTAACATGCACTAATGCGCATTTTTTGATATTTCTACCAGTGGCGTCCGTACGGGATGTATGCTGGAGTTTTTCTTAAATATGGTACGCCATTGCTTTTTCCGAAAATACATCAACCATTTTTTAAATCCTCATTCATTTTGCAACGAATTTGGCGTCCTGACTTTTTTCCGTCCGATTCACCGTTTTCGCGTAAAAAATAAAAACCGTTTTGGCTATTTTAATCACTTTACTTGAATAAGAATTAAACAAAAACACATCTCAACTACCAACTACCACATGATTTAGCGATTTTGCAGTCCATGAAAATTAAAAAAAGTTTGCAACAAGTTTTGACAATTTCTGTGGATCAAATATACTAATATCATTTTAATTTAATTATCACCAGAATTGTTGAAATTATCATCCTTCTCCCAGAATGCAGGCTTCAATTCTCATTCTCAGTTTGAACTAGTGTAGTATAAACTAAAGTCTTGAGATGCCCCCTCAAAAAATAGTCTGAACTATTTAAATCAGGGGACCTGGGAGGCCAAGATTGAGATCCCCACGTCCTATCCAGCGATTCGTCACTGCTTCATTCAGAAATTCCGTAGCATGAATGCTAAAATGTGCAGGAGGACCATCATGCATGTACTACATTTATTATTATTATCCTAATAAAAGAGGTACATCCTTGAGCGGTTTTCAAGAAAGTGAGGAAGGATAGTTCATCCAGTCGTCCTGGAAGGAAAAACGGTCCTACAGGGTGCGGCAGAGCGGACGGACGTTTTTGGGATGGGTAGTACTCTCCGCCTCCGTCTACGAGAGAGGTGGGGAGTGTGCCGTTTGACTCGTGAGATCCTAGCATTATTTTACCAGTTGTCGTTATGGAGCCTTGGACGGTGGAGCGCCGCGTTTTCGCCTATGATTGTTTCGTCCGAAATAATGATCAGTCATCGTCGTACAGCGTGAGTTTCGTCGCCACTTCAACATTCATCGGAATAGAGCTGTTCCCTCTCGAAACACCATCCTTCGTTGGGTTGAATCACTTCGCAGGCGTGGTGAACTGATCAACAGAAGACCGACAGGAGCGCCGCGAACAGTTCGAACTCCTGAAAATGTTGAACGCGTTCGACAGGTCTTTCTTCGCAGTCCGACCGATCTGCCCGGAAACATGCTGCTGCACTTCGCCTTAGTGATCGGTCGGTAAGGCGAATTTTGCATATGGATCCAGCAGGATGGGGCAACCGCCCACATAGCCCGAGCATCCATGGACATTATTCGCCCTCTCGTCCCTGGTCGCCTTATTTCCAGGTTTGGCGATGTTCATTGGCCTCCTCGGTCCCCAGATTTATCCATATGCGATTTTTTCTTATGGGGACACCTCAAGGCTAGAGTATACGCGAAGTTGAGAGAGCGATGTTGGAGAGAGTCTACGCGAACTTCCAAGAACGCCTCCAGCACTGCATCAACGATTTCGGCCGCCACATGCCTGTTGTGATTTTCCACACTTGACTGTCTCAAATGCTATTTCCTTATGAACCTGATTCCATCAATAAATTTGTTTTCGAGTAAACATTAACTATTTTATGATTTTTTTAAAACCGTCCATCCTCTCAGCCGTACCCTCTATTAGGAAATCTCCAACTATTCCAGCCCACACATTCACGGAAAACTATTCCTGCAGATGTGCCTCCGTAATTGTTATTATGGAAATTTCTAAAGGAATTGCGGGAAAAACTAGCTTCATAAGTAAAGAGTAATCAAATAAAGGATTTTCTGCAAATTTTTCTAAAAACCATCGGTATAAATTTAAACGCAATGAAAAATTACACGGCAATAGTGCGTAAACCCTTTGAATATGATACGGGTATAGTAATGCTCAACAAGTATTTTCCAAATAAGAAAATGGGAAACTTTAACCATTACGGCAATTTTCATAGTACTTGTTTCTGGATGTTCCTCAATTGTGTTTAAAACAGCTTCCTCTAATTCTGGTGTTCTCACCGTGCGATGTGCCGCTTTGGAACTATTGTTAATGCTAAGACTTCCAGTTTCATGTAGTTTTCTGTGTATTCTAGAAAACATTTTGCCATAAGAGCATCCCCGTCATCAAGTTCGTAAGTAGAATGCATATCTGCTAACTCGGAAGTTGTAATTATAGTTCAATATATATAATATATATATATATATATATGAAAATGGTTTTTATTTTTTTACGCGAAAAATGTGCATCGGACGGAAAAAACTCAAGAGGTCAAATATATTGCAAAATGACTGAGAGTTTGAAAAAAACAATGGCGCCCCATATTTTTTTGTAAATCTCCAGTATACATCCCACACGAACACCACTGGTAAACATATTAAAAAAATATTCTACATCAAAAAATGCCTATTGTTCTTAGTAGGAGCATGTCAAATTTCATGAATATATCTGGTTATAAGAAAACAAATTTTTTTCTTAAAATTTTAACACCCTGTACCTTAAGTGTTTCAGGACATATTTATGTTCGTATAAACTGTTTTTCCTAAAATGAGCTGAAGAATCATATCCTGTATTTGTAGCCCTCAATTAAATTACACCCTGTATAGAATCCAAAAAGAGCCTACTATCTCCATTCCATCCTCCTATAACTGATATATCAATTATGTATTATTGAAACTTCCTCGATATTCATCAAGTACAAAAGGCAGGTGTCACTTGTTAGATACATAATTTGGAAAGCCTTACCGGTATTTGTCCATATTTGTGAAGACTGTGATGTTAGCTCTGGAGATCCACTGGTATTGTAGTATGCCATCGCTCCCGTAGCACCCCTGGGATAAAGAGAGCTGAAAATAATAAAAAAATATTGAGCACAGGGTAAATAACAATACGACCCAAAATTAAATAAACTTGTGTCAGGGTAAATAGCTAATTAATCGAGTCTCCGAGTTTCGAAATATCACTGCCAAATCCAATTCCGAATTTGACTACTAATTGTAAGATCAGGACAAATCCAAAATTCGCCAGGAAAACAGTATTTTAGAAAACTGTGCCGACACATCGCAGGTGACCACTTTTTAACAAAGTTTTAAAATCACCACCGCTATTCCTTGCTCACTGATATTTTCAGGCGAGAATCCCGGATAAGGTTTAGAATGTATGTGGTCACTCTATCGGCAATAATAACTCAAGACAATAAAAAAGATAAAAACGTTTTATCACTAGTCTTCTTTAATCAGTTAAAGCTCAAAGGTTTTCTGAAACATTTCACGTACCTAACTCGCAAAGCTCAAACATTTTCAGGAACCTTGCTTTGTGGATAGATGCAAATATTACGAATTATCAAATTCTAGTTGCTTGTCCACAAGACATCCGATGCACTAGCATGATCATGTTGCATCATAGTGATAAGCAAAAAATTTCCAAACACATTTTCATTTGACTCAAGTGTGTTTATTATCTCACGCATACATACATCATAAACTCTTTATGTTATTGACCAGAAAAAAGATGGAACAAAACTTTATAATAGTCTTTCAAACTAGCCAAAACCAATTCATCATCTATATCTCGTCAACTACAGAATTTTCAAGGAAAGTATTGAAAATAAACTGGAACTTCAAATTTCTTCCAGGTCCTTTATCATCAACTTATCATAAACGTCATAGCTTGACAAACCAAAGAGCGGCCTAATAAGGTGTCGTAAGTTCTATGTTCCCAAGTCGATTCCAAATTGGTTTTTTTAGAGCTTCATTCATAAAGTTTCGAGATTATTGAATACTTATACTCATGATCTTAAAATTTGGGAGCCACACTTGATTGTTTACACACAACAATCGCAATACATTTCCTCTCGTTACAACTCATGCCTCTGACCCTATCAAATTAAATAAAAGCAAATGTAAAACACTAACTTGTGTTGCAAAAAGTTCAGATCCATCCCGAGCTCTTCGGTCAACGTCGACCTCGAGACCTTGGCACAGCACAGGATAAGTATAAGGTAGGAACTAAAAACCACAGTCACGCACCACACCACCACAGACGGTCTTTCAAGGAAACCTCCGACCTACGACGTCGACACGCTGATCGATGACAACTGACAATCGGTGGTGGGCTAGGGTAACCGGGCTATCGCGCCGGTCCATCTCGGAGGTGCTGGTGCCGATCAGGTCACATGACCCCGGCGCGTCCGCTAATTGCAGATGCACCGGCCGAGTAACAAGGGTGGGGGTGGGAAGGTGGAACCACGACGCGGTGAGGCAGTCGGCAGTCGCACCGACAGCAGGTTTTATGACGATCGACGCCAGAGGTGGAAGAACTGTCTGGGTCTTCGGTCTGGCCTTCGGCTATAGATACAATACAATATTTTATTGGTGTTAGTGTACATACAGTACTTACACAGGTCAATCTGTGACAAAATTTTGTATTAGGTATACATACACCTTCGGAAAAACCATTATTATACATTATGATGAGGAAGAGAGATGGAAATATACAAAAGTATGTAGGTGCGTGAAAGACACTGGATTATAGGATCCTATCTGGCAGCGTCGGAGTGTGACGGACAACGGGGTAAAGTAGAAGAGTGATAAAAGAGAGATGACACAACGGGCGCTGGCGCCTGCCGCTTAGACGGATGCGCTCAACAAACGCGATTTGTTTCTCCCATTCGCAGAGTTGCCGATACCAATATGTCATATTTCTAAGAAATCTAAGTCTACCCAAATTTCGGGAAAAATAGCTGCGGATTCCACATAAGAGTATTCCAAAAATGAAAAAAGTTCAAACTATTAAAATTGTATTCATGGTTCAAATCATATTTTTCATGTTTGTATATTGTTGTATAAATGATTTTGTAATCCCTATTCTTGTTGCCAGTAGAGATACAACAGTATTGAGAGAAATCATGGACCGCTAGATAGGGCTACAACTACCATATGACTATCAAATAGTAGTGATAAACAGGGTTTGTTTATAGCACAGTTGCCTGGTGTGGCGAATTTGCGCCATAGGGGCGATTTGACAACTTTGAAGGACAACTATAACGGGTACTATGGTGCCCGGTATTCGAGAATCTGGCAGTACCTGATGATTCCTAACGTTTATTACGCCAGATTGTTTGCTGACTTGCGCAGTACAACGTGACAATCAACGTGACTGAGCACCTGGTAACCTTGGTTTAAGGTGTTATATTTAAAGAGCTTGGGGCAGTTAGGTATCTAGGTCACATTTTTTAATGTATTTCGAGAAATCCGTAATGTTGAGTAAATACTAGATCACGCTTCTTGCTTAGTTTGCTGAAAATTCTACAATAGACGTACATTTTGAGAAACAGAGATTTGGTGACGACAAAATCGTAAAAATATAACGCATTTTCGTAAAATAATTTCTTTGTTGAAAAGACTGTGGCTTGATGACCCATTGAACGAGTATAGTGTCCCGCTCCGCTTTGAATATTCGAAACACTATACTCCAGCAGCATTCAGCTTCAATCTTTATGAAGTTCTAACGTCTAGGTCATGCTGATTAAAAGCTTGAATGAATCAACACTTAACTCTAAATTCTCCACAATTCGGGAAGCTCTACTCAAATTGGCAACACAGCGTATCTGCCTATTATTCTCATTCGTGATACAGGTCTGCGGTCTGCTGCAAATTTCAGTATGCGTTGAGTCGACAGAAGAAGTACAGTAGATGCGCGCATTACGCACCAGTTCGATTGGACGTCCTGTGAACCGATTTCGGTGATTTCGAGATTTCACAAAATCACCTAAATCACTCTACTTATTTTTATGAATGGATAATTGGTTTTGTAGCAATAAAGGTTGCGTCTCATAACAAAAATAAGAAGATACCCACTCTAACAAAAAATAGTACACTCTTAAAAATGTGTAACGAAAATAAAAAGATATTCTACCAAAAAAATAAGTTCTCAAAAATAAAACGCAATAATGAACACAAATGTTTCAAATGGTCCTTCACAGCTGGGGCTCAAAAACGTCTCCTTCATTCAATGAACAGTATGTCAGGCGGTTATAAAACTCCTGACGAACTCTCAAGAGGGTAAAAGGCTGTATTTGCCCGAGCGCTTCAACGATTTTCACCTGTAGGTTATGCAAATTGTCTGCTCTCTCATTGAAAGTGTAAACAGTACTTTTCACATAACCCCACAAGAAAAAATCATTGGGCGCTAGATCGGGTGATCTAGGAGGCCATTTTATTGTTCCGTTACCGCCAATAATCCGGTGGCCGAACACACTTTCAAGGTAAGTGTGTACGATCGCCGCATTATGCGCCGGGCATCCATCTTGTTGGAACCAAATATTAGCGAGATCAATGCCAAGCTGCCTAATTGCAAGAACAATCTGCGTCTGTAGTAACGCCAAATATTTTGCAGCCGTAAGAGTTCCATCAATAAAGAACGGTCCGATAATGTTATTACCTAGAATTCCTGCCCACACATTCAGTTTCTGTGGATACTGCGTGCGGACGGGAATACTGAGGTGTTTATTTTCCCGAGACCAATACCGAACGACTGAAGGATTGTGATGACCGTGGAGAGGGAATGTGGATTCATCAGTAAACAAAATGTTACCAATAAAACTTCCATCCCTGTTCGCCTTCTCCATGACCGTTTCACAAAACTCCATTCGACGGTATTTGTCTAAAGGAAATATTTCTTGAACCGTTCCAACCTTGAAGCTATGATAGCCGTTGCGATGCAAAATATTTCTTGTTGTTCTGGGTGTGAGATCGACTATTGGTACCATTTCAGCAATTTTTCTGCTTGAGCATGGCTCAGATACTTCTGCAGCGGCACAAACAGCAGTTTCGATCTCGTCCCTTTTCTCGATAATTCTTGGTTTCCAACCTTCAGGGTGCATGCAGCTATGGCACTTATGTAAGCAGCCCACCCTCTTGAATTTTTCGTAGGTATTTATAACCGTTGCGTGAGACGGAATTGGCCGATCTGGGAAGCGTATCGCAAATAATTCAACAACCGCGCGTGCTGAATTATTCTGGATGTACCATTCTATCATTTGAAACTTTTCTTCTTGCGAGTACATTTTTAAGATATTTTGGATTAAATAAAGACGCACCTTTCCTACACAAAACCCAACCGCAGAGTGAGTCATGAATCCCTTATCGCACTTGACGACGGCACGCGGGTTAACGGTAGGAAATATGTACGAATAGCGATGAAAGTAGACGAGCCGATGCGCTGTTGCCAAGAAATGATTTCCCATGTATAACAATGGTTTTTCCTAAGGTGTATGTGGCGTCAAGCTGCAAAACCCGCCTTATTCCACAAACTTGATTTCGAGATAATCGACAAAAACTGTCTTACTCAAAGTTACAAGCGGTATTAACCCATTTGCTTCCACTGTACTCGCTTGAGTACAACAACAAAAATGGCATAGTGGTGACATGTTTTGTATAGTAGTGAAACTTTGGGGATGCTTGAAGCTTAAATAGGATAAGTTATATCAGATTTTCATAAATGAAATAATAGCTGGCACTGTAATCTTATCGGTTCATTTAATATTAAGATTTATCTGACAGTTGGTGTTCCTCGATTTGGCAGCTCAACTTTTTGCAGTATTTTTGATTATTTACGTGTTTTGTTGCCTCTTTTTGTTAGACAGGTAAGTACGAGTCCCATTTATTTACATGGTAGCAACTCTGTTTGATTATGGGTACCGAGATCTTAGAAAATAGATCTGTACTCATTTGAGTACAGTGGGCTTATATAAATTCAAAGATGTTTATTTGTTTTTTCTATCCTTTTAGGTATCTTTATATGTAAAGTCGGAAATGTCGTATCTGTTTTTTTTTCTAAAAATAGATGCTGGCGAATTTCAAGAAGTAAATCCAGCTAGCCTTTATGGAAAACGTTACAGAACGCTGCAGATGACGTAGCAAGTTCCAGTCATCAAAATATATCGATGGCGGTTATTCCTTCAGATGTTGATTAACAAACAGATAATGAAGATAAAGAAGGCTTTTTGTAAAATGGAAAGACAATAATGTTGTCACCATCAAATTATGATTCTATGGAGCCTCTTTCCAAGGTAAAACGCTGGTGTGCTGTTGCCAAAGGAAAAATCGATGTACCTCAACCGAAAATTTTCTCCACGTACAATACGTCCATGGGCGGTGTTGATTTTTTTTACCAATCCGTCAATAACTACAGAGTCAGTATACAAGGAAAGAGATCGTAGTCCCTTTTCACTCCCATGCTGAACCCCGCACTCGTCAAGTCTTGGAGGCTATACAAGTCATGCGATGATAATAATAATCATATTTCAACGAGGAAAAGTCCGTCATTACCAAAGATGTATCCCGAAAACTACTTTCTCTAAGAAACGCCCCACTGGCTCCGTACCAATCAATTAGAAATGAAGGCGGCCACTTCCCCAAAAAAAATAGACAAATAGACAAGTATTCTGTACCTGTTAGTCTCTTGTCGAAAAAGAATGGCCCGATAACTTGTCTGCCAATAGTTCCTCTCTAAACATTCAAGCTCCATTTATTTCGGAAATCTATTTGCATAACCCAGTAAGGGTTTTCTGTCGCATAATAGGGCATGTAATGCCTGTTGACAACACCTATGCTGTTAAAAGTTGTCTCATCGCTAAAAAGAACCTTATCGAGGGAAGTAGTGTCCTCACTAACTTTATTTAGCATTATTCTACTAAACTCCATTCGAGCTGCGAAATCCTGAGGACGCAGGCCTTGATGCAAGCGAAGGTGATATGGATGGTACCTATGCTTGTGAATAATCCTTTGGACAGAAGTAATGCATATATCAGTTTCTGCTCCTATTTGCCGTGCACTTAAGTGGGGATTTTCCTGCAACTTTAATAGAACTTCCATCTAATTCGCCTCATTGGTGACACTTGGATCATTCATACATTTTTTACTATATTCCACTGCTCCACTTGATTCAAAACATTCTCGTAGTGTGGAAAATGTTTCCTGCCTTGGATGTCGCATATTATAACTGCGAGATGCTAGGAAACTATTTCTTTGAGCTTCACCCAAAACGAGCACCATATTCACCATTTCTTCTTTAGAAAAGTTCATTTTCA